CATTGCTCACTGCCTCTTTAGCAGCAGCTAGTATCACGGAACTGTAGGGGAAAAGATGCGAAAAATGCAGTACTTACATTTTCGTTACCCTCTCAGCCTAAACAGCCTAAAAAGGGAGAACCGAAGAACGAATGGGTTGCCCAAATTCTGAGCTCGAAGTTTGTCCTCGACAGTTGGTGTTTGAAGTACAAAGGTGAGTTTTTCTCGCGAGCCTTTGGCGCCTGTCTGCATTATCTAGGATCGTTTAAAAGCAAAAGTGTAACAGCAACAGGACGACTGTGCTGATATTCACTGCAGATTTCGTCATGCAAAACATGGCTGGGGTCCCCAAAACAACTGATGGCAAAAAGCTCTTTTTACTTTTAGAAGGAGAGCTGGATAAGACAGTCGAAATTGTCTTAACCCCGTCTTCAATGAAAGCTTCCTGGGTGATGAACTTGAAGTGCCCATTCATGAGGGACTTCGTCGATCCAGACTTCCGGCAAACTGCAAGGGAGGGAATGCTTCAGTATGCACTTTGTACGTCAAGCAAAGTAATTTCTACTTCATCCAGCATCAAGCCACTTCCCAATGTTGCCGACGCTTGTTGAAGGACGCAGCAGCGCTGAGAATGCCGCTGAACGTCTCTTTTGTGCAACGGAATAAGTTTTCATGTTACATTACTGGCTCTTAATGCCTCCTTGTGCTGCGTGGCAATGTCGCAGCTCGCCGCAGCCTTGGCAGGCGGCTTGGTCGCAAGCTGCGAGCCATCGGGAACTTCTTTTCAAAGAAGTTTACCTGGAAGAGGAAGAGCCTCCCGGGAGCAGCGGCGAACAACGAATGGGCCATCATCAATGTTGGCACAGGAATTTGGGACTCCACGAGGTATCGTTTCGAGCACACGTTAACGTTCCGGCCAGAGAACATGAGCTGTGGTAAGGAGCTACAGACCTTTCCCTCTGCTAGCCAGTGGCTTGAAAATCCTTCTGAAAGCGGCAGTGTTTCACCAGCAGTAAAAGCATTAGGACACCCGAAGCTCTTGCATTCACAGGAACTGGGAAGGGCCCTAGGAGACCTATAGACTTTCAGGGAGGGCACTTCATTATCGGAAGTGAAGACCCGGAAGCCGGTGGGCAATTGCTTTGCATAGGCGTCTGCACTAGTAGCTGAGATTCCTTCGGGTTGCTATAGCGATGCCGCTCATGCAAGCTGCATTGTGCATTTATGTGGCTTTGTACTGCCTCCTGCGCAGAGCAAAAGGCAGTTCTTTGTGTCAAAGATAGCACTGAATGTTGGGCTACCGAGAGAGCACTGATGTTGAAGGGTTCTACTGAACGTAAGTGGAGCGAATGCTCCAACTCACTCCACTTGCCACAACACCGAAATCCCCGTATGGTTTCCAGTCCCTAATCCTTTTTCCTTTTACAATCGTTCGTGAGCATCCTCCACGGCCCAAAACCCTTTCCAACTGTGCAATCGTTCGGTGCGCGCAGCGCCTGTGCTCCACTCCCAAGAACCAGCGGGTCCATGGTACAGTCGGCTTCCAGGCGCAGGCGCCGCCGCGCCCTCTGCGCCATGAAGTCCTAGCTAAACTTTAGTAACGGCGGATGGGTAGATGTGGATAAGGTGACCTGTGGCTGCTCTGTAGTCCCCTGTTGCTTCTATGAAAATCAGGTCGCACGGCGGCGAATGGGCGTGAGTGGCTGCTCATAGGCCTGAAAGCAGCTCTCCTGCCTTCAACACAGAGTAGCAGCAAGCACAGCCTCCTACCACAGTGCGGAGAAGGACTGTACCACTGTCAGACCCTCTCTTAAATGAAGCCACCGTGCTTGTCCCGAATAGCACCCACACCGCCGCGCAGTAACAATGTCTTTTTAATGTGCTGTAGTTCCCGTGGGGGTTCCTCAAGCCCTGGGAAACGCATTGCCATTGTTTTGGCTCCGTCGCCATGCGCATCCCTTACAATCTTGACTCCAGAGTTCATTTTCTCTCTTTTGGCTGCTTAGGCACGACTTAGTGCATGCAACTTGCCGTGAAAGAGCGAGCAACTCGGCTCCAAAGCACCTAAACAGGTTATCTTTATAGGTTGAAGCTGTTTGTGACAACCGCCGCTTGGCAACTTAGGCACTGTTTAGTTGCTACACTTTGTTTGCAGAGTCATGTGCGATCCAGCTCGCCTGAACAATAGCCGTTGCCTGGAAAAGCAACGGATTTATCGTTCCCTTCGCTCGCTAGCAGATGCAGCTAACTACGTGGTAGGTCTGATAAGCTAGCTCTTCGGTGTAGTATTTATAACCCAGACGGGCTGACAATGTACACTATAAATGTGGTACCAGCCTCATCGACCGGCTCCATGCCGTGTCGACATGCAGCTACAGCCGCGAAACAAGCAAAAGCCTCACACGCTCGGTCACGCCCGCACACGAAAAACAAATCGGTCGTCGCGGAGAAAGGGACGGTCACTCCTTGCCGTTTGGCGGAAGTGCCTACAGCGGCGAAGGTATGCTTCTAGAAATTAGCTATAAAGGCTCTGGCGAACCTTACCCACGATGTGAAGCATCACAACCAGCCCCATAAAAACCAGTGCCATAATCAATACCGCCTGTGGTCCTCTATAAACCAAAACGCAAACACCGCCCCACCATCAAGCGTATTCTGCGCATGAGTGCGTCTCTACAGTGAGCGTCAGGGCATGTACGGTAGCACTAACTTATCGTCTATACGATAAGGAGAGCATGCAACTAAATAAATCCCTTACATGCGCAGCCCTGGAGCGTCTTCTGTGTAGAATTTCAAGATGCCCTGGTTGGCTCCTGCGGCTTGGGCGCGGGGTCGTGTAGTTGTTGCGCTGTTGGCAGTAGACGTGGCGCCTTTAGTGGCGACTCTTTTGCTGTATCGACAGCAAGGATACAGCACCAAAAGCAATAGCAAAGCCCCGCACGCATTACTAGGAGAAGTACCAAGGCGCAAACGATGCAAGCAGGACTGTAGTGAGTCACCGAATTGTTCGTGTTGTGTCAAATGGCAAGCATTACACCCTACCGAGCAGCAGCAAGTCGCGCGCCGCCAACAGTCGTCTGCGAGGCCTGAGCGCTGAGGGAATTTGTGCCCTGCAACAACAAAAGCATGAGCAGAGTCGAGCCCACGCCGGTGGCGTACAGGGTGGAGCTGTTGCAGAAACTTTCTTGTGCAGCATCTAGCAGTCAATACATGGGTTACATGCAGCCATCAGGCTGAATGCAGCCATCAGACTCTTCGCTGTAGAGCAATCTGGAAGTGAGCCACACATCCACTTGATTGTGGTTGCCCCAATTAGCCCACTCTGTAGATCCTACACCAACCAAGTATACCTAGCACATACGTCCAGAAGACTTAGAGTGAAATGATCACATACATAGCACGCAGTTCGCGCAAAACAAACGCATTGATCAAAGAAGCATAGAGAGAAGAGACACAAGAAACATGTGGATGCCATACATCCAAGAGCAGTATGTAGCGGTAAGCTGATGCGGCCCTTTCATTCGTCCGCTTTTCTATCTTTTATATTCCACGGAAAGAAAGCCAAAAATCCTATATGAAAACAAGCTAAGCTGGGAAAGGGTGACTTCGGTTCGGCGCATGTCCGTGCTTGTCTCGCAGTTTCCCTGTAGTCGTGGGGCAGCCACGAAGCAACTGCTTGCAGAAGCGGAAAAATCAATAACGGAGAGCTTTAGTTGAGGGAAGAGGAAGGCAGAGAAAGGCTTAGACGAGGTGATGAAACACGCAGAGAGGAACAGTGAGCTGTAAGACGATTAGTATGGACTTTTCTGCCTACCACCATTGTAGGTCCAGTTGTCTTGGAGACAGCACACGAAAAGTCAACAGAGCGCTCAGTTCCCCTATAACACTTTAAATAAGTACAAGAAGCGGAATTCAACAAATACAAAGAAGCAGCAAGACGCTCTCTGGCCCGCTTTATTCCCAGCCCCGTCGTCAGCTCAGCGGCTTGCCGTTGCAGCTGCAGACGCGGCTGCTGCGGCTGCTGCTGCCGACCACCGCCAGAGCTTACTTCCAATAAATGCTTACTTCCATCTGTATGTGGATTTTTATGCGTATCAAATGAGAAAACGGAACCGACCCGAGGAAGAAGGATCGGCTTGCAGTTCAGTTGCTACTATGCGCACCGCACGCGCAGGAGAGACGTTGGAATATAACAGTCCCTGTCTCCCGCGGATGCATAAGCTCACGCATATATCAGTGAAAATTTGCTTCAGGTTACTCATTCGCTGGTATATTCTCAGGCACTTTAGCATGGCCTCGCCTGCAGTCCACGTTGTTTTTCCACACTAAAGGCTCCGTGTGCACCACTTGCATGTGCACAGACGGCTTTTGGTGTGAGGCCGCAAGTACAACTCCCAAAGAGATCCCATATAATTTAGAGGTCTAAAGAATAAACGGCATTTGGAAGTGGCCTTGCGGCTTCTACCAGTCGAGCTACAGTGCTACTGAACTCAGCGTAACTGAATACCCGCAGCTGTGAGGGTCGCAAGAAGCAGCTGCAGAGAGAGCGATGTGCGTGTATGTATGCATGTTGCACTTCGTTGTTTGTGAATGCGCTTAGTAGCAGGTGCCCCAAGCGTGTTGTGTCTTCAGTGAAGGTAGCCGCAGAAGTAGACATGGCGGGTAGTCTCACGCACTGCTAGGCCATAACAGTATGGTAGCTGGCATGGAGGCAGCAGTTTCATTGTTCTACACACAATTGATGCGCATTATGTTTTACTCCTTGCTAAAGGACACCGCAGCAAACCAGAAATTTAAGTCGTGGCCGCTGGCCTCTTCCGCTTGGCGGCACTCCTGGACATGTTACTATAACGCGCCCCACCGTTTGCAAAGCAAGAGCCAAGACGGCCAGAACAAAGCATACGTGTTCTCTGTGGAGTATACCAATGCGAAATCTTAAGGAAATCTGAAATAACGCCTCCTCTATAGGTGCGCCAAAACATACTTAAATTGGTTCCATGTGACCACCTGCTGTAAACACGATGAGAGTGGAAGAAGAGAGCCTCTTGAAGATAATCGGGTCGCCGTCACAACATAATGGAAGCCCAGAATATCAACTTGATGCGCAAGAGTGCAAGGCTGATGAGGGAAGTGACGGTGGCAGCAGCCCCGCAAAACTTCTGAGGCCCCCTAACAGCGTGGCACAAGCAGCAGCTGCACTGCCCAGGGCTCATGTAGACGCAACAATATTCGTTCAAGAAGAGAAGACACCAACAGCATGCATAGACCCCCGAAAAATTTTGGCTATGCCTGCAAGAAAAGAGATTCTAAGAGTAACGGATAACAGGATGAGCTCCGTAACGCAAAAATCTCCCAGAAAGGAGGATGCACTGTTGGAGCAAGAGTTAGGAAGCAAAGAGAGTGCAGTCGCTGAGTTAAGCTATGAAAAGTTAGAGGGTGCAGAGGGCTCTCCATGTGCGTCTTGCTGTTTTAGCAGTGAAGAGGCCGGGTACTACGTGAATCACGCCGACGGAGAGAACAAGAGCAGTCATAACACGGAACAGCGGGGCTTGCAAACGCAGCAGCAACAGCAGCAGCAACTAATGCAGGAAAGCCAGGGTATCTTGGCACAAGCGATGATACAGGATTCACAGCAAGCTACACAGCAGCACCCACTTGGGGACCAAATGCATTCTGAAGAGCATCAACTGCGTCCAACGCAGCAAGACCAGGATGCAGAAGAGCATCAGCAGCCACGAACGCAACATGACAAAGAACCTGGTGAACCCCAGAATGAAGTTCTGCAACGGCACAAGGAGCAGGAAGAATGGTGGCAGCAGAACGAGTGGCGAAAGGAACAAGCGCACCAGCAGGTGCACAAAGAACGCACGAAGGAGCGGCACCAAGGTCGCGAGCTGCGGGCAGTGGAACAGCTAGAGCACGAACAAGAAGGTTGGAAGAGTCAAAGCGAATGTACAAGACAGCAGCAGTGGGAAGGGATGCAGCAATGGGAGCAATACAAGCGGCAGGAAGAGCTTCAGCCCGAGCAAGAGCAGCATGAACAGGGGCAGCCAACGCAAAAAACCAGGGATAATCAACAGTTGCAATGCCAGAATCAACAAGCTGAGTTACTGTATCAGGATAGGGTGCTTGAGAAGGAGCTGCAGGAGCTTCCGACGCCACACCAGCAAAAGCGGGTGAAGCAACACAAAGAGCAGCAAGATCAGCCGCTAGGAAAGCCTCCAAAGCAGGAACCTTTGATGCAACAGATCCAGATGCAACAAAACCAGCAACAGAAAATGAGTTCTTTAACTGAAGAGGACCAGCAACAGCAAAAGAAATTGCAAGATGAGCACACGCAGCAGCAAGAGCAGCAGCAGCAAGAGCAGCACCACCAGCACCAGCAGCACCAAAAAGAGAGACGGCATTCGGCTCAGCAGCAAGAGCGGCAGGTGCAAAAGACGTGTCCAGAGGGCAAGGAGCATAGAAGATTTGGCGAGAGGCAGCAGCATTTACATGGAGTGCTTAGCAAAGAGCAGCAGCAAGGGCCCATGCAACATCAAAAACTTCAGCATTTTGAGCAACGCCAAGCAAAGCAAAATCAGCAAGCGTACTGCATAAGTAATGAAGAGCAGCAGCACGAATTTATGCGGCAGCAAAGTGATCAATCTTCTGAGCAGTGTTACCCACTGCAGCAGGAGCAGCAGCGCCAACAACAAGTGCATTGCATGGCTGAAGAGACAAGGCAGTACGAATGCTCACAACATCAAAAGCGGCATCATTTCGTGCGACATAAGGAGCCAGAGCAGCACGAGGTGCAGGAACAGACAATGCAGCAACAGCAACAACACCAGCAGCAGCAAGTGGAGCTTTTCCTCAGAGAACAGCAACAGCATGAGTCTTCGCTGCATCGAAACCAAGACACTTCTACACTAGAGCAGCAGCAGCAACAGATCCAACGGCAGAGGCAGCAGCAGCAGCTGCTGCTGCAGCGTACATCCCGGTTCATTTCTTCAGCTGAAATACAACGTGCAAAATTGCCAGTAATCGAGCCCGGGGAATTCTGTGGACTGGACGGCCATTTTGGGGATGCTAGCAGCGGGGAGGCCAGAGACGAATTTGGGGGATCCCCGGGAGCACTACCGTCGATGGGCATTGCAGGCTCCGTGAGCCCAGGGATGCTGATGGTCTCCAGGAGCAGTACAACATCTGATTTGCAGCTGCAGACCGAAACGTTACAGCTACTACCGTCAGGAAGCGGCCAGGATAACATGCCTGCAGTGGGACCTCTGACAGTGGCTACAGCTTTGGCAACCGCTGACGGGCGGCTGGGAGAAGAAGGAGAGTTTTTGACACCAATGGAGGCTGCGGAGCGTGCTGCAGAGTTTGCTTTGGCTGCTGAAATGGCGGCTCGTCGCGCAACAGAGCTAGAAGACGGGCAACAACCTGATACTGCAGAGGGGAACCTGAGGTGCCTGAGGGCAGACCTCGTGCAATCATCTCCTCTGTGTTTGATGCCAGAGGCGTCTGCTGATGATTCCAGTTCCCTCCAGTTCTTCCTGTCCAATCGTAGGACCCTCAACAGAAAAAGAAGAAGCGGTGATGCAGCTGGTGGTGCGGCGGCGCCATCGACCACAGCAGCAGCAGGGCTCCTTCCCAGGGCCCTGGCGCTGCCCTCTGGCAGCTGCGCGCCTCTTATTGAAGAGGGACAAGAGAATAAAGATTCAGCTAAGGCAGCAGCTCAATACTATTCAGTCTGTGCCATCCAAGCTGCGGGTTTGGCGGTTGCTGGATGTATGCAGTCCCTCCAGGGGTGTCCGTCAGTTCTGGTGCAGACCAGGCTAGCCGAGCAGTTGCAGCAGCTACTACAAAATGAAGCTCCAGGCCTTGCCCCACTCCCTCAAGGACTACCAGGAAGCAACAGGACACAGAAAGATGCCGGCGGCAACGGAGAGAAAGCATCGGAGGCTGAAGGAGGTCTTCAAGCTGAAGCCAGCCAGGCTGATGTGCCCCCACTGTGCCAGTCATCTACTACCAGTAGCGTCAGCAAGTCCAGGCACCAGCACTCCCTGCAGCATCCACAGCAAGGAAAACAATTTCAAAAGGAAGCTTTAGACGGTAGCGCACAAAAACAGCGCGAGCTGAATGAGCAGGCACGAGAGCTGCAAAAGCAGCAACGGATCTCAGAGGAGTTGCAACGGACGGCGATGGAACAAAAGCTGCACGCGCAGCAAGAGCTGCAGCAGGCTTTGCTGCAGCAACAGGAAGCACAGCAATTGTTGGCACTGATGCGTCAAAGAGAAGAAGACCTCAGTCAGCAGAGAGAGCAGCTGGAGATGCAGCAGGAGGTGCAGAGAAGGCTGCAGCAAGAGCTGCATATGCGAGGTGTGCATCAGCGGCAGCAAGAAGTGCTGCAGCAGCAAATGCAACAGCAGCAACAAATGAGGCATCATCAGCAGCGCCAGCAGCTGCAGCATGAAGAGATGCTTGCGCAAATGAAGCAACAGCTACTGGAGCAGCAGCTGTTGAGTCATCAGCAAGTTGTGGCAGACTTCGAAAAGAAAGCAGCTGACCAGCTGCGACAGAGGGAGTTGCTGCAACAGCAGCTGCACCTCCAACTGGAGGATCTCAGGCTTCGGGATCAGCAGCAGAAACGACAAGAGGAAGAGCTGAGGCAGCGGCAGCACCAATTAGAGCAACTTGAGAACCAATTAACGCTGCGAGAGAAGCAAATACAGCAACAGCAGGACGAGCACCAGGCAAGGGAGCATCAGCTACAGCAACAGCAGCAAAAAGCAGAGGAAGAACATTTGCAGAAGAAAGTCAGATTAGAACAGATTGAGAAGGAAATCAGCCAAAAGGCGGCAAATGGTTAGCTTGCAGCCCTCGAAAGTGGAATATATCCTCGGATAATGTCGGTGCTGCTGCACATGCGGGAGGAATGATCTGTATGTATATCCAGCAGTGCTCGACTATAACGTCAGACTTTGGTTACTCATGAGTTGCTCGCTTCTGTGGTGTGCTTTACTGCGCAGTTTCTGCTGCAGCAGCGGCTGCGGCTGCTGCGATAGACTCCCCAGATGGGAGTCAGCCAGTTTTCTCGTTCGTCACTTCGCTGGCGTCAAAAGGGGAAGACACCATACATGAGATGCAGCAACTTGAGCAAAACCTCGTGAATTTGTGCCTTGGGTATCTGCAGCAGCGCAAGAGGCATTTGGCGCTTCTACGGAAGCCACTAGAAACTGAAGGCAAGCTCCTCAGGCTGGCGGCTGCAGATCCACAAGCTCCAGGGCATGTTGCTGCAACGGCAGCACGGCCTGCTGCTGGTGTTGCTATACCTAGAGCAGCACCAGCGGACGTTTCAGGTACCTTTGACGCCTCATCTGAGGGCCAGTGCAGACTCGTAGCTTCCAAGTTGAAGGCCTGGAATGCAGCTGCAAGGCAAGTGGCAACACTTGCCGATGAGCACAATCACGTGTTTGATCTCAAAATTCAGATGCTTATGTATTTATCTGCCAGTCAGGCCTTCTACTTATTGAAACATCGACTTGGTAGACCATTTAAAGACTTCAGCGTTGAAATATTTTTGTTCCCACCAATACACTTGCAGTATCTAATGGCCAAACTCAGAAAAAACAGCATAAGAGGTTCTATGACTGTGCGACGTCTGGATTGCTTTGGATGTCACCGGACCGTACGTGTCTTCTTCTTTCGCTGCTCAGGTGTGTCCGTTTTGCCTTGCTAGCCCTAACAAGGCGGGCCAACTATCTTGCCGGTCCAGGGGCCCGCGGCGCATCTCCTGGTGATACATCCCAAGAAGCGTTGGCTAGACCCGCTGTTGCCTCCGTTGCGCCTGTTGCCATTGGCAAGTGGTTCCTGCCTAGCCAGCCGCAGCCTTGCGTTACCTTAGACCCGATTCAACAAATGAGCCACAGCAGCTCAGGCCCCGCAACCACTGCTGCGGGTTTTCCTGAGTTGACTCTACAGACAACCAATTGCCAGGGCCTCAACACAGCAGCAACGCCTGCAGTTGCGCCTTCAGCGCCGCCAGAAGGGCTAGCAGATCAACCGTGGCAGGTTCGAGCCTCGGAGTCTGCAGCTGAAGCAGTTTCTGGCGGTCCAGCTGTAGCAACATCACAAATCTTGCACCAGCAGCAAAGTGGACGGAGCAACCGAGTCGAAGAAAGCAGCACGGTTGGCTATGGCAGGGCATCAACAGTGACAGATGGGCCCCCTGAGCGCTTAAGGTCAAGCCCTTCGGAGGTCTTCCGCCGCCTGCCTTCGGGATTGAACGTGGGAGATTTATCTGTGCTGGGGTTCACTGGAACGGCAGTTGCCGAAACCCCTGCAGGATTTCTTGATGGGCCACTTGGGGAGGCATCCCATGGACACAGTGGAGTTCCAAAAGTTGTGCCCACTCCCGCATTTAGCAGCAACCCTCCCTTCCAGCTGGCCACGCTGAATGGTGTACGGACACCTCAAGGTCAGATGATCCCCATGCTAACTCCTAGGAAAGTGCCTCCATTGCCTGTGGGCTCGTTAGCCCGTCGAGGTGAAGCCGCTGCTACGGCTGCTGCTGCAACTGTAGCAGCAGCTGGACGGGAATGGGGAACTCCTCGGCTGCAGCTGCAGAGGAGGCAGCAAGTATCTCCCCTACGACCGTCCCAGGGCCTACCCTACAGAAGCTGAAGCCAACACAGCTCTGCAGCGCCTATTGCTGAAATGGTCTGACAGTCCCTTATCTCCCGGTGCGGGGACTTCCCGTCGTGCTGCTGCTTACGCATACATCCGGCTGCTCTTCCTGGTGTTGGTACGGGTGCTTTCCACAGAGTGTCAGCAGTAGCTGCAGGATTTGCATGCGGATTTTTCGAAATGCCTCTGCAGATGTTTTGTTCGTATCAGTGACTTCTCCTGCGTGAACATTCGAGTGCGTGGAGCAACAGAAACGGCAGCAACAGCAGGAGCTGTACCAACTCCCAAAGAAAAATGACACGCAACACGCTTTAAACCTCTAAGCTCTCGCTAGATGGGAAGCCCAACGCTGCCAACCAAGAGTCGGTTGGAGGGTCTAAACAACTACTGTTATATATAGAAAAGGACATCCTAGCTATTAGTGTATGCGATCCCATACGCCTTAGCTCAAGCCGCATAGAACTGGCAAAATAAGCGCCTCTTGCGGAAATACAACTCACAAAGGTACACTTCAGTCTTCGAAAACCAAGTCCAATGAATGCGCGCGTCAAAAGCAGGCTAAAACTGGTGGCTTCAGCGCTGCGTGGTTGCTGAGAAAAGTTCAGACACTCCAGGGTTGCTTTTTGAAGCAACAACAGCAGCACGAATAGCTGCGTAGACAGCACCTGGCCTCTCTGAACGGCAACGTGGAAGTTTCGGAAATAGTGCTTCCCAGTTCGCACACCTAATATGGGGTAACGCAGGCACTACACAAAGCGTGCGTTGACGCTCTGTTCCCATCTGACAGTTCCGCTTGCTCCTGAAACCCCGCTGGCCAGTCCTGCGTGACCCCGAAATTCCCGGGAACGCCCATAACGTGAAAAGCCCAACTATAGTGTGTTTGACGATGCAAAGTTGCGATATATCGATGGCGGTGGCAGTTGCTATTTGCATGCTCCGATGAAAATAAAGACGAAAGTTCACATCCCAAGATGCACAGAGCCAGTCCCCTATGGCGGCATCAAAGTCCTGGGGTGGCATGGAGCTTTACATATACCCTCGGCAATTCGGCGCCCCACAGCAGCAGACCTCCTGTCCCAAAGAACTCTCGGACAAGCTGCATGAAGCAGACGAAGGCACAAAACCAGCAAGCGCAGTTTCATTTGTAAAATTTCCGCAGCGGCTGTAGACATCCGCGTTCCTTGTTTCAGCATAGTCTGAAGCTCCTTTTAAGAGCTTCCTGCCATCGCCGGCCTTCACCCATTCCTATCCATTGCTATCGGTTAAGCCTCACCTATAATTGTACAGCAGCTCCTCTCCCATAGCGATGTCTCTAAGAGCCACGAGGCCAACGTGGCTGCCACCATCTTCTTCATCTTCGTCCTGGTCACAGTCGCAAAGTACACAAAGTCAAATTGAAATGTCTGGAGGAGGGGAGCGCCCATGAGCCTGGAGAGCAACGATGATGCATGCACTTACCCACATGCATGCACATACGCACGCATGCATACGCCTGCGCGATTTCTCACCAAGATATCCACTGTGCAGCAGTTAGGGGCGCAAGAGTGGTTAATGAATCGCGTTGCGCTGCCGCAAGCAGTCGCATCCACTATGGAGCCATTCCTTAGCTTGAAAAAATACGTGCTACCCCCCATGCTCTGCACATACTGCGCCTCCCTGCACACGAAATTTCAAGATGCCCAGCAGCGAAGACCAAACAAATGGATGTTCACACGCAACTGCGTGGAGCTGTGCACGCACAAAAGCATGAAAGTGTGCACGCGACCACGCAAAGTCTAAGAGTGCGTACAGAAAGTTTGCCCTCGCCTCTGACACGGCGACTCCAGCGTACTCCACGATAAACTCGCCGCGGCGGATGGGCTCCGCAGCAAAGACACCCCACCTGCAGCAGCAGCAGGCTTCAACACCGCATGCACCTTAGGCACAGGAAGAAAACTTCAGTAACAAGCGGCCCACATACTGTCAACTAAAAAAGAAGATGTTGCGCTACAACCCGAGTCTACAAGAAGCGGTAAATGCGCCGAAATGACAGAGTCAAGAACGTCGCGCTCCTCCACCCGCCAGGAGAGCCTATGGTTGCTTTAGGCACGCACCACACGCATATACTGCTGCTGACTTTGGCACTGATACTCCTACTTGCAACAAGTACGCGTACCCGTGCACGGAAGACTTGGCTATTCGCAGATACTTCTGACGGGCAGCAAGCTGAGTAGCTCTCGAGGGACTCTCGTAGAGTTGAGCTGTCTCTGCACCTCCACGCATCAGCACAGGAGTCCTAAGTTAAGACAGCAGCATCGTCAACAAAAACACCAGCACAACCAGCATCATAGCAGTATAACTCGTACTCAGTCTGTCCACAGCGTCAAAGAGGAAGAACAACTTGTTGCGCTGCTGCTGCAGATCTGCTGCCTCTGGCAGGCATCCAGTCTCCTGCAGTAGTGAAAAGAAGCAGAGCGAAACCACAGAACAGCAAAAGCTTTCAATGAGACATAGAAGCGAAAAGAATGACAAATGAGACTACTCAGAAGGCCACAACAACAACTGGCACGAGTCACACGCAGGCCACACACAACACACGCATGCGCACGAGTCTGGGGGGAAGTGAATATCGACCCGCAGGCAGCCTCAGAAGCAGTTGCTGCTGTTGCTGCTAGCTGTGCATGAGCTACCTCCAGAACGAGTCCAAAGAACGGAGAAAGTCTGCGGCGCTGAGCCTCTCCTGCTGCCAAGTCTAAGACAGGGCCACTCGCTGCCTGCCATACCGCCGCCAAGAGATGATTGCTGCTGTCTCCATGAAGGGGCGGCTCCTCAGAGTCTGATGCGCAAGGGGAGAATGCCCTCGACGAAGCTGATAGCTCTGCACATCTTGCTTCTGTTGCTGCAGCAGCTGCTGCGTTTCCCACTCTAGCAGTCGTTTCGGTTGCAGCCTCTGCCACTGCTGTTCTTGATCCTGCTGCTCCTTCTTGTGCAGGTTCGGCTGCTGCAGACCTTTTGGCTGCCGCTTGCTGTGAAGAAACAGGAGAGTTCGTAGGGCCCCCTCTTGGTGTTGACTTCCTGCACAGGGAGGCTTTCGAGAGACGGAATTCAAGAGACGTGTCCGCATCGGCCCCTGAAAACAGAGCATGGCTGCACGAAGCCAAGTGCATGCAGACAAAGGAACTTCACGAGGTACGGCAAAGGAAGTCTAAGATAGAGATGTGGCTGTAAGGAACCAAAAAGGTACGTTGCTGCAGGGAATGCACACCAGAGATGAAACCAAACTAGTACGGGAAAAAAGATACTAGCGCCTTCCTGCAGATGGGAGACAGACCTCTGGCAGCACCGTGGAGACCCGCTACGGCGAGAATAACAGCAGGTGGGCAGGTGAGATGAGCAGCAACAGTAGGAAGAATAACAGCAAAATACGTACGAGTGTTACCAGTACTCACCGTTTTCGTCCATCAGACTCCACGCGAAGATATCGACGCTTTGCCAAGGCACAGGCTCCTCATCCTCGAGAGAAGCCCTCGTACGATTCTTTGAGGCCGCATGGGGTGGGTTGTCATTGAAGGCCCTAGCGAGACCTGCAAAAGAGGTTGCCAAGGCAGAACCTTTTCGCAGACCTTCTTGGGCGTAGTCTGACGCAGATGATGCCGGAGAGGAGTCTTTAGGTAAGGATAGGGTGAGGGGGGCGTGGAGAAAGTGGTGTAGCGAAAAATTGCTGTCAGGCCTGGTGCCTCGGCCATTGCTGCTGAAGCCACAGCCGGTGCCGGCGCTGCCTTGGGCTCTTCGGCTATTGCTGCTGCTACTACTGCCGATGACGATGCTCCCTGCAGCAGCTGCTCCTGTTGCAGGGCCACCCCTGACTTCCGGTGCAAGTCCAGAGCCTTCTGAAAGAGCCGCAACCTGCTGCAGCTGGTGGCGGCACATTAATGGCGTCCCCCTCACGACGCGAGCTCCAAAAGGAGTAGCTTGAATTAAGAGGCCTGTGAAGGCGTACATGCAAAAGAAACTGAGCCGGCAAAAGGTAGGTGAAGGAACACACCATAACAGTAACGGAGGCAACTGCCTCAAGAGAATCCCCATACAGCGAAGAGAAACTGGAAGGCAAACGGCACATAGCAAGGTAAAAGGAAGATTGCCAAAGAGGCAGACACAGAACGGGCAATAAGGGAGATACATAAGGAGAGGAGAGACACAGATAAAAACTCTAATCTCCCTGCATAAGAAATCTGCAGACGGAAGAACAGCAAATTGCGTGACCGGATGACGAAACCAGCTGCGAAGTAACAAAAATATCGCAAAAGCAGAAGCCCACCAGTCTGCGTGTCATCGCATGCAACAGGAAGACCCCCAAATTTGAAGCACTCCTGTTGTACAGACGGCTGCCTGACGTGCACGTCCTCCAGAAGGCCCCCACATGGCTCAGCTTCACCAGCAGTAGCAGCAAGAGACTGGTGTGAGATCCCTTCCTTGGCCTGACAGACTCTGGGAATCCATGATTTCTCACTGTCTGCAGCGGTTGGTGCAGTGCCTTCCCACTCTTTCAAGAATTCAACAAGAGCCCCACAGAGAAATGACAGCACGCGGCGACACAGAACTCCACTGGACTGCTGAGGAAGTTCGTCCTGACGCTCAGAGGCAGTTGCCGAACCCTGAAGCGGTGCAGCAGCAACGGCTGCTGTCTTTTCTGCACCGAGACTCCCGTCTGTGACATGCTCAGCTGCTGCGGCAACAGCAGCCTCCAGCGTAACGCAGCAGCTGTTACAGCGCGGCTCCACGTTGCTCTGAATGCTGCAGCGAGGGCACTCCACGCTCTCTAATACATACTGCAGTAAAGAACGGACTGGTCTAGATAAAACAGCTGGACATGGTGTTTCACCACAGCAGCAAACCGCAGTGGCAGCGGCTTCGATTAGCTGTAGGCAGCGCCGGTAGCACGCGCCAATAGCATCAGCAGCAGCAGATGCCGTGTCTTCAGCTGCTGTAGAAGCAAGAGAAGCAGGACCCCCTGATGCCTCTGCGAAATCTGACTCAGGAAACAGCAAAGCAAGGACCAGTGGTCTGGCCCGGTTAGTGAGGAACTCCCGCAACCCGACAATAGCAGCAGCTGCAGCTGTAGGTTCGGGCAACGCCACTGTTAGCGTAATAAGACTTCGAGGCACCGCACTTTGCCCTTCTTGAAGAAGAGAAGAGATGAGAGGATGCGCAGACCTCATTCGCGCCTGTATTAATACACGCTCAAGCCGGTCCCGCTGCAACGGAGGCCCACCGAACGGAGGCAGCACAACGGCGAGCAAGTGCAGAGATTCAGCTGCAGCTGCAGAGTCTGCTGCTGCTGCTTCGGTCTCTGAGGCTGCTGCTGTTTCTTTGCCAGCTGCGGCTGCTGCTGTTTCACTTCTTGCCGCTGCCGCTGCTCCGAGTGAAGTGGACTCTAACTGCAGCGAATGCAGCTGCTGCGGGACAAGACAGAGAGCCTCATACCAGCTCATCCGCCGGCAGGCAGCAGCGAAAGGGTCATTTCGTTGGCCTGTGGGGTCTACGGCAGCTCCTGACATCTCTTCAGAGCCTCGACGAGACATGCAACTGCCACCACAGCAGCAGAAACAACCATTCGCGACCCCGTTGCTGCTACAATCCGGGCAAGCTTCGCTTAGAAATTGCCGCAAAAAAGGCACTTTCACTCTGCGGCGTTGGCTGCAGAGCTGGTCTTCGGTTCCCCTGCTGCGAAAGATGCGGCTCTGTATGTTGTTACAACCAACATCAGCAGCAGTGTTGTCCGCAGAGGCAGCAGCGCCCGCATCAGCAGCAGCAGTGGCGTCCCACAGCTTCGCTCTAAGTATGGTCTCGCACACAGACGGAACAAGCAGCTTGCTTTCAACTGCAGCGCGAATGTGGCTAATTAAGAATGCAGCAGACTCAGCCGTAGGAGCTGCAGCACTGCACAGTCCCAAGGGGCCACTGACAGATTCGGGCAACTCTAGAACGGGAGCAACAAAAGCGTCAGCAGGCTGCTGCTGCAGCTGCTGTTCCAGCAGCCGTTGCACGGTCTGAATTCACCGCAAAGTCGCAAAAAAAGGAGGCAATAGCAACTAAACCGGCAGGCAACGATACGCCACGAGAGTGAAGTGCATATACAGGGCGGCGGCCGCAGCCGCAGCAGCAGAATCCGCCGCAAGAAAATAAACTGCAGCAGCAGCTCTTTCAAAAGCAGCAGCTGCTGCAACACCAGCAGCAACTGCTGTTGCTTTGTGCCACGGCAGCAGTTTGAAAGCAGGGTCTCACCAATTCTTGCTCTTGCAGCAGTTTAGCCGAAGTTGTCTCTCCACGTACAGCTGCGGATGGGGGGAGCGGCTGCTGCTCCTGGTGCGGCTGCTGTTGCTGCTGCTGGTCAGCTACAAAAGCCCCCAAGACATGCTCCTTTGGATGAATCTCTTGCATATTTGCGCCCCCCGAAAAAGATCTAGGGGGTTTCACAGCTGCAAGCGCGATGAGCAGCCGCCGCTGCTCCATCAAGCATGCTTTAGGGCTCACGGGGGTGACGCCGTCTAGCTGGAGCAGCAGCCGTGTCACAGCAGCCGTGCATGCAGACATGAAAGCGTTCGGTTCCAGCTGCTGCTGCTGCTGTTGCTGCTCTTGCTGCGCAGAGCTCGAGGCCGTGACTGCAACTTGGTCGAGCCGCCTGATAGCTAGTGCAACGTCCTTCGCGGCCGGTTTGCTGCTGCAGACAGCAGCAGCGCCTATGATGTGAGCCGATGCTGCTGATGCCTGTGCTGCATGCGTGGGGCTGAAGGGGAGCAGTGCCGCCAACAGGGGTGCAAGGAATGCATGCTGCTGTTGGATATGGATATCGTGAGTCTCAAATGAAGAAAGTCCCGGCGACCGCGGGCGGCTAAGCTGGCCGCAAATCCTGAAAAGATACAGAGAAAAGCAGGTAAAGGACGAGCGGCTGCAGAGGGCTGCTGCTGCTGCTGCTCCCAGTTCATATAAATCCTACAGCACTGCCCTTCTTCACAGAAAAACGCAGAAATGGCTTCGACATACCACAGGCCGAATGTGCCCTAGATGCCGCCAGTATCACAATGTAGTGTTCTAGCAACAGAAGCAGAAAAGACGCAGGAAATACGCAGAGTAGCTGTAGCAGCAGCAGCAGCTCCACCGCTGCCTCATCTTACCGGCATGTCAGTCCATTGTGGCTATCGGCTTCAATCGGTGAAGTCTCGGAAAGATTTGCAGCCTTATCACTTCCTGTAAAGAGTTGCCCTTGCGCACTGACAGTGCATGAGCCTACCTCTCGGCATTGCTGCTGCTGCTGCTCCTGCGCTGCGGCCGAAGTCGCAGCCGCAGCACCAGGAGCACTGGTAGTCTGCTCAGGGCAAGAGAAGGACCAAGCGAGAAGAAGGACAGTCGCCGCTTGCAAACCATGCAGTTGCTGCTGCTGCTGCTGCTGCTGGCCGTGGTTGCTGTTGAAGGATGCGGCAGCAGCGCGGCACCCTGCAGCAACTGCTGCAGCAGCAAGCGCTTCTGCAGCAAGCTGAGACCCCTCTGCGTGCCTCTGGCCGCCCTGCTGCGCTGCTGCCCCCTTCCCAGCATTGTGCTGCTCCAAGTTCAGTGAATTGAAAGCCTTGGGTGGCCCCTGGGGCCCCGCGGGGTGGCCCTTGTGAAGATCCAACGGGCGCACGCGGGGCTGTGCTGCTGGCGGCAGCAAAGGCAGCTGCAGGAAGAAGACATATGCAGCAAAAAGAAGCTTCCTGGGACACACGAGCTGCGCTGGCTGCAAGTGGCTGGAGCTCGAGGGCACCCCGCGAAGCAGGCAGGGATGTCCCCCTGGGCTCTCTCGGCTGAGGCGACGCAGAGGGAAGTAGCGGCAAGAGCTGCTGCTGCTGCTGCTGCTGCTGGGGCTCTTATAAGCCTTTACGCATACTGCCTGCCTCTTCGCCTCCCAGTGAATCGTGGCAGACACAAATGGGGGCCCGTCTAGCATGCTGTCAAAGCTGCGGCTGCTGCCGTTGCTGCTGCAGGCCTCGCCCGTTGGCCCCCTTCCACGCTGTCTCGCCGCTGCTGCTGCTGCTGCTGCCTTTACTAAGGCTGGAATGGATTCTGGCTGCCTCTTCCATATTGGTAGAGACCGAAGCAGCGCTATGGCAAGCGCGAACTGCTGCTGATCAGTTCCGCTGTCCTCACCTTGGAACTCCTGCTGCTCCTGCCTCTCCCGTTGCTGCTCTCCCTGCCTTTCCTCTTCCTGCTGCCGTTGTCGCTGCTGCTGCTGTTCTTGCTGTAGCAAGTAGCTGTAGTCCTGTCCCTCCCGCTGCTGCTGTCCGTGCGTTCGCTTCTCTTGCTGCCCATGCTGTTCCATGCGTTGCTTTTCCTGCTGCTGCTGCTGCTGCAGATTTTCAGCCTCCAGCAGCGAGACGAACTGCTCCAGCACCGGCGGCCGCTGGAGACGTCTGGTCAGGGCCCGAGTGTGGGGAGAGGGAGTAGCTGGGGCTACTTCCCTATGGTTTGTGGCCTGTGGCGCCCTCTGAGAAACAGCAGCAGCAGCAGAATTCCCTTCGTTTGCATACATCTCCGTAAAGCAATCCACTCTCCGGCGTTTTGCTGACAGTGGTACGAGCTCTGCTGCTTCTACTGCCGTTGCTGTTTCGGGGTTTGCAGGTGTTGCTCGCGCTGCAGCTGTCGCTGCTTTTGCTGCAGCCTGAAGCGATTTGACTGCTGCATCGGGCTGAGAGTCATAAGGGCAGCAGGAAGGAGAGAGAAGGGAGGAGGGAACCTCTTGAAGCGTGGGAGGCCAAGCCTTTAAAGAAAGAACTGAAGGCGGCAAAGGAACAGGGAAAGCAGCGGCTGCCGCCGGCTTGAGCTCCCTGCTGCCTTGGCTCATGATGTACAGGCCCTGGAAGCTGTACACATTACGTGGGATGTCTGTTTTGCATGAGTGTGTGTTCGTTTCCCTCCATAATAATCCACATAAGCTAGACAGCAATCACGCAGGGCAGCTGCTGAGCAGTCCGAAAGACTAGCTATTCATTTCCGGGCGGACAAGAAGCAGAAATCCGCATCCCAGGCTCTTGGGGTGCTTCCACAAAACAAGGGCGGGAGAACAGAACAAGTTCAGTTCCTTTCAAGAGCTGCTGGGGGGAGGAAGGGAGGCGCGGAAGACTTCATTGCACTGTAAGAACTAAGGAAACGAGAATATGGAGTACATGTCGGATTGGTTGTACTCAATTAATGTAAGAACAAAGTAAAAATGCGAACAAACCGGTATGCAAGGCTAGGGCGCCGTTCTTGAGGAGCCTCAAAGTCATGCAAGGACAGCCAGCTCAACGCTGGTCTTCTCCGTTAAAACGCCATTGCCTGCATGAAACAGTAGCATTTGTAAATTCAATCATACTGATAAATAAGATTGAACATTGAACTTTGAAATAGTACACCACCAGGTAAATTGAAGGACATGCAGCGCTCCGGTTAGGGGCCTATGGCGCAATGGTAGCGCGTCTGACTCCAGATCAGAAGGCTGGGCGTTCGAGTCGCTCTGGGCTCAAGTTATAGTTTCCCCCACTCCAATGTTTTTCCTTTCGTATTGAAGTCCCACAGTCTTTTCAATGCACCTGAGGCACATCATTTACTATTTAAAGCCGTCCTACTCGTTTGTACCCGCAGTTCCAGGTCTGGCCCTCTCCGCTGCGCATGCAGCTTGAGGCAGGGCTTGCGGCGGAGCCTCCACAGCGCCCTCCCTTGTTACTGCTACTCACTTCATCCTGCGGTCCTAACTTCAAAATTCAATTGTAAAATTGTTGTCTGTCCATACTGAGCGGCTCGTAGATCCTTTATACCCTCTTCCCCTTTGCTTCCAGCGTGCTGCTGAGGAGGCGTGGTGGAGCTCTGCTCTGAAGACAGTTGTTGTTCATATAACTGTGTTTTACAGCTTGCGTCATTATTCACGTTCGTCCAAAGGCCTGAATGGCCATAGCCTCCTTGAAAGGGGCTCGCCCGCCTTTCATTCAACTTTTGCCCGCAGGCTTCTCTTGCCAAGGTAGCAGCCGCGAAAATGGCAGCAAAACACCGTAAGCACGACTTCTTCCTGTAGCCAGATATCCGTGGCTTTTCTGCACTAGTTGTTTGAGTAGAAAGCTGCAGAAGCATGCTCCTATCTTCCCTCTTTTGCCCCGGATGCATTTTCCGCACCTGCTTATGTTGCTTGTCGTGCCATGCAGATCCCGATTTGATCATGTGCCGCAAACAGCCAGGCATTGGTAAGCAGTCCTTTCACGGCTAAGTGCTACGCACAGAACAACTGAGAGGGCTCCGTTCTGCATTGAAAGGCGACGGAAATGCAGACTTGTACTGCCATGAGTGTTGCAACCTCTGTTTCCTCTGTTTGCGGCTTTCAGGCTAGTTAATATCTTGCTTTCACCATTCAATTTATTTTAATCTTTTGTTTTTTTGCAGCGATCGGCCGGCTCTGCGAACGTTGCGACGGCAAGTGCCCAATTTGCGACAGCTACGTGCGCCCGCACACCTTAGTGCGCATTTGCGATGAGTGCAACTACGGCTCATTCCAGGGCCGGTGCGTCATTTGTGGCGGCCAGGGAATTTCGGACGCCTTCTACTGCAAGGAGTGCTGCCAGATGGAGAAAGATGTGAGTCTTATGAATGGCTGTCTTCGGTACATTTCAGCTACTGTTGCAAAGATGCCGTTCTGGCGTTTTTGTTAGCCCAAGTGTACGCGGCGCGGACCAAACTTATTTATGTCGCCAGAAAATCCGGTGTACGGTTTTATGCACATTGTGCTTTGTTTGCGCATTTGTTTGGCATGCGTCCTTCCGTGCGTTAGCTTCACTTGTTATTTGCTGCTAGGCGGTATTCACATCAAGAAGGTACCTTCAGCATTAATGTGTAATGTTTTGGAATCTGTAAATCGTAATTTGTTTAGCTGTATGCACTTGTGTCTGCAGCGCGACGGCTGTCCCAAGATAGTCAACTTGGGAAGCGCCAAATCAGATTTGTTTTACGCCCGGAAACAGTTTGGGGCGAAACGGAACTAGCACTGGCCTTCCCCTTTTCTCTGCCTTTCTTTATTGGGAAAGGCGAGGGCAGGGGTTTAGGGCCTGTGGCGTGGGACTCAGGTTGAGGGTTTGGAATTAGGGCTAGGATTGGGGCCCCTAGTGGTTTCTTGGCAAGACGCGGTCCTGCCGACTTTAATTCAGCACAAACCATGCAGAATCAATTCGCTTTCGAAGATTCAGTAGACGGGACAAAAATGACCAAGCCATTGCCAGGAAATTAGTTAAACAGCCTTTATTTTGTAGCCGGAAAACTAAGCAGCAACATTTGGACACAGACAGCCAGAAAGAGAAATCCGTGAAGCAGCAAACAAATATAGCAGTCTATTTTGTGTTTGGTTGCCCAAGGAGCCAACCGCAGTTCATGTTTGTCAGATGCCGATGGTCCACTTTGTAGATGAATAAACGTCACCTCCAGAAGGCAGAAAGGCCTCTTCGGAATGTTGATGCCCAGTGTTGGCTGAACAGATGGGTATTGCTGGCTGCAGTTAGCACTAAATGTGATTGTGGGTAAAAGTACTTGGGTCTAGTCAGGCCTAAGGGCTACAATGGATACGGAATTGCTGCTGCGGCAAGGTGAGAGCAAAAGCCAGCTGCCGAAACGGGTAGTTTCAGAAGCTTCTGGCTTAGTCGTGAGGCTGCAAGCAGCTAGCTGGGGCCGCAGGTAGCTCTAATTAAGACTAGTAACCTACTGTCCATGAAAAGGGGCACAATTGGAGGCATTCACTGTGGTTAAGAAGTGGCTTGCTTCTGCGTGTCTGTGGCAAATCACACTAGCCAAGAGATCCTCACAGTCACGTAGGCAATTGGAAAAGATACCTGATTGAGCTAGCACCAAATTGGACGTTTGGCATTTTTTAATAGATACCTGATTGAGCTAGCACCAAATTGGACGTTTGGCATTTATTAGGGGGCTATTGCAAACTAATGTGCTCTCATAAATTTGACGGGTTCTACTTGCTGAAGTGCTATACGCGCATAGATGAGTACATATCTAAGCAGTTCAACACCGAAGTGTGTGAACTTGTATTGGGTTGATTCCATAGAAGAGAGGCTGAAAAAAGCACTTGGAGCCACCGTTAGCGTTGCAAGACATGCGTCGAAAGGCACTCACTTCTCTGAGTGAAAGCCTAGAGTGAATTCAAATTAGTGCAACGTAACGGCGTGTACTGTTCGTGGCCTGGCTTGCATGAGGAAACCGAGGTTTCGTACTCAGAAATAAAACTCGCATGCAGTACCTGTACATGCGTGTAGATACAGGCAGCAGGTCATTTTTTTACGTACTTCCGTACTAGCGCTCGAGATGTCCGCCCATGTGCCACAGAGATCCACAAAAACGTGTTGTGGTCTGCGCGTGAAGAGATTGATTGGTGAAAAATTAATTTCCGGTGATCTTCTCCTGTATGAGAGAGATAGACTGGTGAAAAATTAATTTCCGGTGATCTTCTCCTATATGAGAGTTTTTCTTCACGAGTATGCCCGCTGGATGTCTCGCTCTTCCCTGTGCGCACTCCCCCGCTGTTTCTCTATCGTGAAGTGAAGGGGCGCATAAAGAAAGGAATGTCTGGGGATACCCTCCTGGTGCCCTAAACTACAGTTTTCGTTTAAAAGGTAATATTACAGAAATGTAGGGAGAAGACACGAAAAGGTAACGCAAAGACCGACACGGAAAGGTAACGCGAAGACACGCACCCCCCTGCCTCCTAATCAAGGACAGTCGCACCACCAGCAACACCCATCTGCACACTTCGCGAATGAATTGGATACAAAAAAATTCAAAAGTAGCTTTGTCTTTGCTTCACAATAATGTTACAAGCACAAATAATACAAAAAAATGCTTCTGCAGAGGAAGTGGTCACAACTCCCGCGGGTGCAACCCCACAACCAGTATCGAGACAGAATAGCGGGTGACCTCACCTTTTCGTGGATCTTCTCCACATTCAAAAGCATTAAAAAGTCTAAGTAGTACTTAATATTAGTAATATTTCGGGCGTGGAATAATTTTTTTGATTTAGTTTACTCTAAAAAATGCAAAAGCATACGCAGATTCGGAGGCCAGCACCCTGTGGGATTGTGACGGGGGAGCTACTGGTCCAGTGGCGCACTGGTGCAGACACCTGCTGTCGAGGTCTAATTCCCTTGAATCGAAAAGAACAATTTTAAAATACATAAAATCACTTGTTCACTCTGATTTAAGTGAATTATCGGATTTTAAAACTAATAAAAAGAGAGAAATAACGCGCACTGCAACAAAGTGGCAACCAGCACTACCAGTGTGCTAGGGCCAGCGGCGCGGCGGTCCGTCTCCGCGCGCTGCTGCCGTTCCAGTGCGCCTTCCACTCACTCCCACCATTCATTTATATAATTCCTGTTATTTTTGTTCTTCTTATGTTTATTTTAATTGTTCTACAACAGAAAAAGGCAACAGAGGGTGATAGCTTGTTGGCTTTGTTCCACTGCCATTTGCAGTGGTTCAGTTGTGTATGTCTCGTCTCGTGTCTTGTTGTGTGGAGGTGTGTTTGCGTCCGCTGGACCTATTTTTGTCGTTTTATTTTTTGTTTCCCTTTATAAGACTAATTTAAACTATAATAGGCTTAAGTAAAGGCCAAGAGTAGCGCTTAGGAGCGTTGTCGTTACTCCCTCTCCTCCCCCGTTCCCGTGTGTGTCTGTGCCTCGTTTTAATCTGTTGCAGATGCAGCTGCAGCTACACCTATTAGGAGCTTTGGTGCTCCACTATGGGGCTAGCCAGTTGCCTCGGATCTGGGCAGTGGGCGCAGAGATATCTGATGGGCTTCCCCTTCGAGAGGAGCCGCCCCACGCTGCTGCTGCAGTAACAGCAGGCGCTGGTGCCAGTGAAGCAGCAACTGCCGAAGAGGGGGGACCTGGAGAAAAGGGTCAGCCTGGAAAGCCGGAAGCGCCTATGGCGGAGGTGGTGAAGGTTGCTCTGAAGGCGCTACAGGGACATGCACCGGATCTCCTGGCGAAACTCAAAGAAATAGCTGGTAATGGCAGCTGCCATAAGCAGCAGCAGAGTTGCCGGATGCGGGGTGGCGCCAAGAGGAAGAAAAGTTCGAGAAGTGCGGGGACATGGGACTCTCAGGCCCAGGGAACTCCCCGAGGAGATAAGGCGAAACGGGGAGCAGAAAATGCAGGAGATGCACAGAAGATGACTTCTGGGGAGCGGGGGTGCCAGCGACAGAGGTGGGCTTCAGGAAGTGACTGTCCTGAAGCTGGAATTGCAGAAAAAAGTGACACAGTAGAAACAGAAAGATGGGAAAGTAGGGAGGAAGTTGAAGGCAGGGAGGTGGGGGACCGTCTCGGGCTTATGGGCGCGGAATCCAGGAGATCAGGAAGTGCAAGTGGGCGGGAAAAGTTCGGCAGAACTAGAGTTTTGCTGCCGAGGGCAGCAGCAGCTGGGGCGGGGTGGGGAGCGGGACAAACAGGAGAAAGTGGAGAGGCAAGTGAAAACGTGAGGAGGAGGGGAGCGGAGGAAACCGAAGAGAATGCGAAACCAATGAGTAGACCGAAAGCGGGAAAAGGCAGAGGTCCTGCAGCTCTTGCCAGCATAATGACCGCGCAACAGTTGCTGACTTTACTGGGAAGACGTGCGGCAGCAGCTTCTGGTGCTGCTGCTGCTCCTGCTGCCGAGGGTAGTGCTCATGGTGATGCCTCCCGGGCTGAAGGCGTTCCTGTATAGTTGTCTGGAGAGGTGTAAAGGTAGACTAATTCGTGTTGAAGTTGACGTTTTGGTCAGCATCACGAAGAAGGAGGGCTCATGGGAGCGGCCAGAAACGCAGCTACAGAGTGAGCAGCTGTGTGGTCAACCACCTTTGAACTGGTTTACTGGGGCGCTTTGTCCTGAAGTTTCTTTTTATTTTTTTCCCTTCCTGATCAGCCTCGTTTTTGTTTCACACTTCTCACGTTATTTGTTCGGCACTGCGGGAGCCGTCGGTCTACTATGTATCGTTTTGTTGGTTTACTGTCACTGTAACTCTTCATTTGCTTGTTTTGGCGCATCCATTCGTCCAACTCATTGAGCTCTTTCATTGAATCTCTCAGTTCATTTTCGATTGTAGATTTTCGATGCCGTGATTCCCATTTGAATATTTTCTATTTGAATGCTTTGTAGACCCAGTCTGTCGTTCACTCTTCGCTTTTGTCTGATTTCCACTATTTATTTGTTCCTGTTCTGATGTCCTTTGAAACATTTGAATCCTCTAAGTGCGAATATTTGAATCGGCCTATTATTTGAATTGCCTAGATTGGCTTGTGTATTTGATTTGAATTGTACATGCATCCTTTCTAGACGTTTCTGCCTTAGCGGCGTGCCAGTCAATGCCGTACTTCTTGTTCCTCCTGTAATGATCATTTGTAAGCATAGCATGTGGGCCTCGAGGCATAATTTGAACTCTGAGTATTTTTTATTCGGTATTAGTATGTACCGTGTATTTCCAGATATTTGATAGGTTTGTGTTTGCCGTTTTGTCTCGCTTGACGCAACAAGAATGATGCCTTTGTCGTGGGAGTGGGAGCACTTCAATTTGAAGCCAGCGTGTCACATATTTGGATCTCCTGAAGTCTTCTGTGAATTTGAATTGAAACACATTGTGAGTTTGAATTGAAACATCTCCATGAATGTGCTTGCATCATGCAGAAGTGTTTAGTGCTAGTGGTGAAGTTACCTTGTAGGAGCTCGCATCAGGCCGCGGCTAGAGTTCTTGGCTCCAGTCTGATCGTAAATCACAGGCTAGCTATGAATTGAAAAGGAGACGAAGCTGCGGCCCACTACTTTTACTGTTATTTTTTCAACTGATGCACGTGGATCATTTATTTTTTCGTCAGTCATCTCGACGGTCTCGACATGTCGGTTGTTGCACGTTGTATCTTACTGTGCAAGTATCCTTTTGCATAGGTATGCACTTTCATACATATTTTTTCGCTTTAATCCTTACAGTTAGCTTTTTTTCCTCTTTGTCGTATCCTTGTGGAGGTTCGGCACGCAACTGGTGTTCTGAAAAGGGTGTTCCCCCGTCAAGTTTTTACGTAGTGTGTGGTGGAAAATAAATATATATTCTATATACGTGTACATGTATGGGCACAGCGTCTTTCCAGTATATTTTTGCTATTGCTGGGCGTGTCTATAATGTATCTGCCGCTGCAGCAAACGGTCTGTCGCCAGCAGCAGTTGCATGCCTACGTTAAGAGCTCATCCTTTTTAAGTGCATAACGGCTGGGCAATTGAATAGATTAATCGGAGTTATATGGTAAACGGAGTGCGCATGCAAATTTTGTGGGGGCCAGTGGCATGCCCCCAATAACTTCTTGTCAGTCGTGCCCCGCATTTTGCATGCGTTTGTTCGCATGCAATTGTAAATAAATGCTGCAGAGCAGGCAGCAGCAGCTGATGCGGCAGCTGCTCATAGTAGACCTGTGCATGCGTAAGCAGCAGGTGGCAGCTCATGCATGCCCGTTTTGTTGTATCCGTATATGGCCGCAATGGCGGCAGCAGCGGCAGCTGCAGCAGCGGCAGCTGTAGCAGTGGCAGCCGCAGCAGGTGAAACAGCTGCAGCTGAACTAACCGCTGCCGCTGCAGTTGCACCAGCGGCAGCAGCAGCAGCAGCAGATCTTTTGAGTGTGTGTATATGTTTGTCTGTGTGGTTTTCCGTTTTCTGCTGCGCCCGCTGCTCTTTTGTCCGGTTTCGAAAGGACTGTTCTTAGCCTCGGTAAAAAAAGTTGAAAAGGAGGGTCTTGTTCGGACACGAAACGAATGTGTGTAAAGGAAGACTGGACTCAAACTATTGGACTATTCAACTCCATAGAGTCTTGTGAACAAGGGGCTGGAGTTCGTTGCTGGCAGGGAGTTGAAAGAGAGATTCTTCAGTTGCGCGGAGTCGTTGCTGGAGTTTTAGAACGGGTAGAGTGTAGTAGGTCGTTTAGACTAGTTTAGTGGCTGAGGTGTGGTACTAGTTCTGTGCATATAGATCTAGTGTGGAACCGTTGAGAGTTGGTCCGAGTCTACTGGAACTTTGGGACCTTGAAGAGAAGGTACGAGGAAATTGAGGTGCACCAGTAGGGGGAAGGTACTGATTAAGCTCTTGTAGTACTGAAGGGAATGCAAAATATATGTTCTTCCCAGGAATGAACGTTTCTGGGAAATGCATATTCCCTCGAAATTTGCATTGATTTGAGGAATGCATATTCAATCGAAACGCATTTCTTTCTGGAATACATCTTTCATCGGAATATGCATTGCTTTCGTGAAATATACACTGCTTTCTGGAATGCAGATTTCTTCGAAATACGCATTCATGAGAGGTTTTTGACATTTCCTTTTTGCAGAGTTTTGTTTTGTTTCGGTTGAATGTGGAGTTGCCGAGGACTTAGTTGGGCATTCGCCTGTAGCGTGGCTCCACAAGTGGTGGCAATTATTTATGACATTTTCACTTCACTGTCTTCACCTTGTTTTCGTTTAAAGGTTTAAATTGGTGGAAAGAGGAGTATAGTGGCAAACTGGGATTTATCCAGTTCTTTTAAATGAAAGGGGCTATTAACAAATGAAGAGTTGGGGTTGCTGGAAAAGTTGTTGAATTGAGTTTAATTTAAAGAGTGCAAAAGAACAACCTCACTCATTTCTTGCATTCAATTGAAATAGCTGCAGTTAACGGAGGTAAGCTTGAGATATAAAAGATTTCCAGATCATTTTAAGCTTGAAATTAGATTATTTACGTTATTTTACTTTCAGCTCTTATATTGTGCGCTGTTTTATTGTCTTGCTGCTGTTTTTGCAAGGTTCGCGAGCGCCGGGAAGCAGAGATGGAAAGGAGTCCGCAACAAAGCAACATAAATGATTGAATGGTGTCTGTTTATTTCCCAGATTTGTAATTTTTGAATTTTCCAAATTGGCGTTTCAGACGCCAACATTCCATGCTGGAGGACAACAACAACCCCACCACCGTGGCCAGCCAAGTTACGTGTGTCTTTTTCATGGCTCTACCAATACTTCCTTTTAATTCATTTTTTCTCCTCATTTGAATATTCCGAGAATTAAAACAAAATTGACGAGTTTATTTATTTATTCTTGCTCCATTCCTCCAAAGCAGCGGGGCGGCGGCTATGTGCGCGCCGCCGCCGCTGTCCTAGTGAGCTGCTGCAGCAGACAGAAAATTTCGTGGAAATAGGGCATTAAATTAGGTGAAAAAGCAGTTTAATGAATTTGAACAATTATTTGTCTAGTTTATTCACCCAATGCCCTAAGACAGTCCGGCACAAGCCTGATGCCTCAACTCCCCATCACTGCAGCGCGAAACCGCAGCAGAAGCCGCGGCTCCATCTGCCGCAGCAGTAGCAACGCCAGCAGCAGCAACAACAACAGCAGCAGCAGCAGCAACCCCTTGAGCTGCAGGCCAGATCTCACGAGCAGACGCATTACTCTGATAAGGCAAAGGGAGGTGGGGCCCACAGCCCGGAGAGAACCCCTTTCAGCAGCGCGTAATAGGCAGCAGCAGCAACATCAGCAGCAGCTGCAGCAGCAGCAGAAAGACAGGGATGCAAGGGCTACCGTAGCCCCCCCAGGTGCTGCGCCTGCTCCCACTGCAGCAGCAGCACCAGCAGCAGTAGCACCAGCAGCAGCAGCACAGAGCCCCGCCAAGATGTTATCCTGGATATCCAGGGGCCCCCCAGAGGGGGCCCTGCAGCAAATTGACAATGAGGAGCCCCCCATGCTGACAGCCAGAGAAGGCTTCACTTACGGAGAGGCAGGCGCAAGCCAGCAGCTAAGCCGTGAGCAGCAGCAGCAGCAACTGCAGCAGTGCGGCTGCCCGCAGCAGCAGCAGCAGCACTGGTACCCGCAGCTGCGGCAGCAGCAAACGGAATCAGCAGCAGGCACGCCCGATGACTTTTTTTCCCCACAGTCTGCCAGCCCAGCCTCTGAACAGACGCCGGAGTTGACGGAGCTGGAGCAGGACCAACTGCAGCAGCAGCAGCAGCAACAGCAACAGCAGTGGCTCGCACAGCAGCAGCAGCAGCAGCAGCGGTTGCCGCAGCAGCAGCAGCACCGCTCCTACTCCGCCTTGAATTTTCAGCAAAGTTCAACAGCTCATCGTGTAGAGCAGCACTGCGGCCCCTACTCGGTCTGGTCCGACTCGCAGCAGCAGCTGCTGCATCAGCAGCAGCAGCAGCAGCAGCAACAGCAGCAAAACCCGCACCCGGTTTCTGTGAGAGAGTCTGGGCGCCACGCTGCCAGCGACCCGTACTGGTTGCAGGAAGTGGCTGACCGCCTTTTGGACCAGCAGCAAGAAGAGCAGCTGCAGCA